GGGGAAATAGTATAAGCAAGGACCTGGCAGTAACCAACTGAGGGGTTATGTCGAGCATATGCAGTAAGCAATCGTCTCAAAGCGTTTCTACCATCCTCATCCAGAGCAGGGTGACCAGGAAATGTTCGAGGCAGATCCTGCACATACAAGAAATAATTATAGACTTCTAACAAGAAACTTATACTTAATGTCACAGTATTTAGAACAGTTAGGTCGAAATATCAAATGCAAATACCTTCTCAATCTGCCCTTTCCATTTTTCTGGCATACGTACAAAATCTCCACCTGTTTTCCCATTACTGTCAATTGACTGCAAGCTTTGCTGATCAGTTTTAATTTCAGAATCACTCTCCGAGGCTAGCAGATCCTGATAATACTTCTCCACCCTCCTTGCTTTTACACCAACAAAAGCTTGCCAAAGCTGAAATGCAGTAACAAACAAGAGGGTATGATAACAAACCAAAAATAAGATAAGCCTTGCAAGAAACGCAAATCTCAAATATATAATGAATACCTCTCCCCGCAAGGCCATTGGTACCCCCCCACGAACCAGAACTTCCAACTCTTCTCTCCAAGGAAATGAAGCCTCTGGTGGTGCAGCATCAGTGGTAATACCATTTGCAGAGGCATTTGTGCCATCAGCAAGAGGCATATCTGGACTAGGATCAGACCTCTCAACATCATAGTACTCCTCCTCAGAGTCTTCCTCTAATAGTCCTTTTGGTGATTTAACATCATCAGAATGCAATGGTGACTTTTCAGTTTCAATAATCTTGTCATCTTTTAAAATGTATTTCTTGATCCTTTCATCTTTTACTGACCCGGCTTTCTTCTTTACTCGAACACTCATCATATCCTCAATAGTTCGTAGAGTTGGTCTTATCTCAGTCCACAACTGGACTCTGTGAACTTTTGCCTCCTCAGTCGCTGGTACCTCCTTTTGACTATCATTTTCAGCTGCATTCTCAGAATCATCTGGTATCCGGTTGCTTGCTTCATGAACACCCTTCTCCGAGCTAGGATCAGCTTCTGGCTCTGCAACTTCATCACGCAAAACTTTCTCACCATCCCCAACAACTAATCCGTCTGTGGCCAATTTAGTAGACTCTGTCTGTCTTTCAAGAAACAAGCTCCACCGATCTGACCTTTCCTCTTCTTCCTCCTGAAATTGCAGTAAAAAAGTGTTACACTTGGAACAACATCAAGTAGCAAGAATTCCCACCAACAGGTAGCGCACAAATGACATCTGAATACTTTTTAGTCGAATTCTTCAGTTTTACTGGAAGTAAAATTTACTTCACAACATTCTCCTAATCCTTCCTTAAAACGCTTAAACTGGAATCATAAATCCAAAGCATAACAAGACCTTGTATATGTTAGCATATTCACGGTATCTTTGCAGGTGCTGAGGCCGCACAGTAAACCCATAGGCATCCCTGTTCACACCAAACACGCATTAATTTTCAAAAACAAACATACAATAAGTACGACTCTAGCAACAAATTTAAGTAAAAAAACAACTCAAATCGCCAGACGTCCACTCCGAAGTAAAAACGACAACACATTCCGCACACAACACACTTCCATAGCAATCCGCATTGATTACCTCAAACGATTATCACTATTCACTACTCACTACTAAGTAACAAACTTAGAAAGAAGAAAAAACAAGACGCAACCGGCGTCAACTCAAACTCAAAGGACCAAGATCGATCTCCACAGTCCACTAATTCGATTAAAAAAAACAATAATTCAACGGTAAGTCGCGTGGTGGTCCAAGCCAATTTAGAAAGCAAATGAAAGAGTGAAATGAAGCGTTAATTGACGGATCTAACATAAAACGAGAATGAAGGAGGAAAATACCTCTTGTGTTCGAAGGTTATGAGAGGGTTTACGATTTTGTTAGGCTTCATTTGCAGATTGGATCGGCGAAGGTGAGAACAAGATCTTCTTCGCCTCGAATTCGAGCAAGCGAATGCGTATTTGTGCAGTTAGTCTGTTCAAGCTAGTGGCAGTAAGCTACAAAATACAAGCAGAGTAGAAAATAAGAGAGAGAAACAATAGAGATATAGAGATATAGAGAGAGAGAGAGAGGCCATGACACTCAGCGAGAAGAGAGCGAAAATGGCGTCACGTTATTATTACATGTGCTGCGTGATACACTCACGCAGCGCTCCAAAGCTAAAAAGGTTTCGGTGTGGTATCGTTCAGTTCGCTTCCTCACATTTTCACTTTTCTTTCCTCATCCATCACAAATCAAACTGCGTCCAGTTTTTGGACCAGTTCTCTTTAATCTTCCTATACAACTTCAACCTTCTAATAATATAATAATAATAATAATATATATAATATAATAATAATAATATAATAATAAATTCATTTAATATACCTTATAACCTCAATGTGGTGCGGTTCGGGTGGACCAGCCTGCCATAATTTCCACACCGACCCAAACCATATAATATAACATTTTCGATAATATTTTTTTTTTCTAGAATACATTGGGTGTGGAATGGCCAACAAATATTTTTTAAAAGCCGTCCTTGTTATGGAGGATTTTTTTTATTATTATTAAACAAATTACAGTATCAAAATTAAATTCAAGATATATTAATAACTCGGGCAGATTAGTTGAAGGTAGACGCTTTAATTTTCATCAATGGATTGTTTGTAAGGTGGTGTGAAGATAGAAATTGTATTATATGATAAGTTTATAAAATCGTAAAATATTAATTCCTTAATCCCTCGTCTTTTGAGGTTATTGATGCCGAGAATACGATTTCCAAATTCTCGTCCCTTGAGGCTATTGAATACCAAAAGATTTAACTAACATCATTTCAATAATGCATAAAGAAAACAGCCTAATAAATAGTTATAACACCGTTATAAAGTGTTAAATTTGAGAAACTAATTCATAAACCGTTTCACAATTTACAAAGCAATTTTTTGTTTTTTTATAATTAAAATGTATATAACTATGAGACATCTTTTAACAACATGGGTTTAAAAAATAAATAATATTAATATAAATATAGCAGGGTTAAATATGTTTTTAGTTCTTGGTCGTTTCTGGTTTTCGTCTCTCTTTCAAAATAAGTGAGGACCAAATTTTTAACGGTATTAGTTTTCGAAGACTAAAACGAACGTTTTCAAAAGAACGAGGACCAAATTTAACCCAATATACCATTGGCAAAAATAGTATTCGTGAAGTTAAATATTTTTTAAAAGGAATCAAGCTAAGAAGTATATCGATTTAATTTATATACCAAAACTCGTTTTTAAATCTTTCCGAGCATGGTTTTCTTTTTCCTTTTTTTTAGATGTTCAAGATATTTTCTTGAATGCAAAATCGTCAAAAATATTTTCAAATTAAAAATTAAACTAGTGTAAACGCCTCGTAAGAAATCATTGAAATTTCAAATTAAATCAACTTATCAAGTATTCAGTAATTTTTGTACTACTGAAAATTTTTAGAGAATAAAATATTGGCTAGAGAACCACTCCTGATTAGAAGAAACCCTATTTTTAATATTGCGATTGCGTTGTTTGGATATTATATAATTTTATTCAGATCATTCGTTAGAAGTACTTTTGAAGATAATATTAGTAAAATTACTCTTATTTTTAAGAATTATATATATTTTATAAAGATGTTTAAATGTATTCAAATATGTGAACTAATCAAGATTCCGAGCTAAGTTGGGTTGGATTTAGAATAATATAATTCTTTTCTAAATGGGTCATATTAAATTGTGTTACTTATAAGCAAAACAAGTTTGAGTACATTAGAAGTAAATTAATTTATAATTACCAACAATAATAATTTATTAATTTTGTAATTATATTTTTATCACAATTGTTTACTGTTTTTAGGTTTATTTTACTACCTCTTCTGATACTCCTATCTTTCTCTTTGATTCAACCTACTTTATATTTTACAATTATAGTTTTAATTAATTCATCTTTATAACCGAGCTTAGTAACAATAAATGAATATTTTGGTCATAATTATAATATTATACATATAAATTTAAGTTAGTCAACATACTCCATCAATTTTAATATTGGATAACAAAACTTGTAGTATAAATATCAAGCATTTTAATTAATCTAACGAAAAATCAATAATAAGTTTATTTCAATTATAGAAAGCCTTACATTATACAGTTAATCTCTATAAAATATTTATTGCAAGAGGTTATACATATTTTTTTATTATTTAGTCAGGCATATAACATTCTCTAACCACTATATCTATCTCTCTCTCTCTCTCTCTCTCTCTCTCTCTCCTATAATATATATATAGTATAAATGGAATTAATTTTTAGTAAGAATGTTTGTTTTTTCCCAAGTACTTTTTATAAAGTTTTAATTTTGTGATTGCATTTGTAATAAAGGAAATATTAATTTTGAAATTATCGGTTAAGGGATGAAATGTTTAATATAAAACCAATAATGTTTAAGAAGCAAACGAACTTTTCTAGTCATCTTCCCATTGTTTTTACGTTGTTTTAAAATAAAACATGTACAAAGTCAAACTTGCGTGTTCTAATGAACTTGTAAAAGATAATTTTGAATTTACTGTTCTATGATACTTATTTCTTCTGTTAAAAAAACTCATTTCTAATATTATTTTTCGTCTAATATTTATATTTATAAAAAATTGAAAAATTTACTTTGTGAATTTACCTTTCATCCCTCCGTGGCCTGTCGGCACGTCACTGGTCATGCCGTGATGTGGTGTAATGCAACCACTGTACGCACCCCACCAACATCACTTTAAGCGTATTTTGTTCACCTGCTTAAATTTGGAGAAAAAGTGTAACTTTATTTTATAATACTGTTAATAATTTAATATTATTATTATTTTTCTTTAAAAATACAAAACTCATTCTTTTATTATATTTTATCCTTATAATATATACAAAATGTAATACATTTCACTTTATCATTGCTTTTTTAAGTATTCTCTATTATTATCAAACATAAATAGATGCAATAAATAAATGATTTGTATAATATATACTCTTTGGTCTATTGAGAAGGTTTATAAAAAAAATACAACATTAATAACATCTTAACTCAATTGCATAAAAAATTGATATTTTTTCTATTAGAAATTTAAAAATAATGGACTAATGATCTTTTACTTTAATGTTTTTTCACTTTTTCATTAGTGAAACTTAAATTCTCGTTATAAACAAATATACTAACATGATCGTGAAAGAAATATACAAATTTTAAAATTTTAACTAATATGAATGAGTAATTATTTAAGTATAGAACGTGTGCCTCTAAAAATTATAGAAAAGAATTTCATATATTTTTGTTTTTCTAAAAGTCAAACATAAATTTTTAATTTTTTATAATTAAAATGTTTTTTATGATTTCATTGATGAAAACATATAAGTAACGTACATACATGAGAACGGTTTAATATAATATATAGCAAATCTAATTATAATAATTTTTAATTATATAATTTTCTCCGTTAAAATTGTCTCTGCATTCCTTTGAGATTATAAATATTAGATAATGATATTTTGATCATATCTTTAATACTGTGTCTATCGTATGTTATGTGATTGATTATATTAATATTTATGATTGTTATTATTGATTATTGGTATTTATGATTATTATTATTAATTAAAAATAATTTTAAATACATAATAACGTAGTAAATAATATTAAAAAATTATTAAATTTATATGATTATCCTTAAATACTATTCTGACAAGTAAAACTTGTAAAAAAACATTTAACAAGAAAAGAAAAGTGGATAGGTCACGTCAGATGTTTACATGCCACGTTATGATCACAATTATTATTCCGGATCCCTAGGTATGTTTCTTTTCTAACTTATCTCGAGATTTCTTAAAGTTATGGCTATAGTTGTTTGGTTTGATTTTCATGTAAAATAACAGTTAATTAATAATAAAAATGCGTCATTAAAGAAATAATAACTTAAAGTAAATTATATTAAAATAATATTATACGTGTGCTCAAATATTAGTTTGACAATGATTAATGCATATTAATGCTAGAATAAAAAAATCAAAAATACACACCCATAAAAGCAAGGATTTTTAAAATTCGTGTAACGTTTGGAGTTGAAATAATATTTTCATTATCTAAACACTATTTGTAGTTATTAATGTGTTGCTTTTAAAATGTATGGTTAAATTTCTTTAGCTTTTTTTGTTTTTTTATTTCAATTTGTTTTTCAACAACCATTTAGTTTTATGTTTTATATGAATTTTATTCTAAAATTTATTGTTTTTTTAAAAGATTAATCATGGTATTCTTAGACTTTAATAACGATTTATTTCAGTATATTAATATTTTTAATTTTTTTTTCGAGTTTGTTCCTGTAAACTCATATTTAGTTGTGATTTGGAATTTTTTATTATATTTAATATAAATTGTTTAAAAATAAAAGAAATTTAAATATATGTATTTATGAGGTCTTTAAAATAACTAATATTTTGATATGATAATTAATTTGTTCCCGTGAACTATACTTCTTTTGTAAAGTTTTCTTCAGATTTCAATTATTTATATCCGTCATTTAAGTTTTTTTTCTCCTCTATCGTATATATAGGATGTTTGTATGAGACTATTGGATGATTAAGTTAAAAATTATTATTAAATTTTGAATTAATAGAAAAGGTAAAGTCAAATTATAATTGAAATAATATTTATATGAATATTTTACTTATCGTGGATCTCATTTTATTAATAGTCGATTTATTGATTCAAATGCCAACGATTATTTATGAAAAACTACGCATATTTTTTTTTGGTTAAGTTGTCATGCGCAAAAACGTCTCTAGTAGGTAAACAAAGTATCGGCAATAGGAGTAGGCAAATAGAACTGAACTGTACTGCATTAATAAAATCTGTACTAAACTAAAAACTAATTTGTCTCAACTGAATTGTAAAACAGTTCAAACAAACTGAACTGAATTGTCTTTTGTTTTATTAAACTGGACTGAACTAAACTATAATAAATTGTACTAAACTACAATATAAACTAAACTGAACTACTAACTATACTAATTTTAAATTGAATTGTAATAATTTTAACACTGTCCTAGTTTTTATTAAGCACTCTTTTTCAAACTTTTCCACTTTCTTGAACCGCCACAAACACATACAACTGTAATTATAAAAGTTTATTATAAAATGATTAATTATTTAAATTTTTTAAATGGTAGTCGTCTAATACCCTGAAACAACGCGGTAATTATATTAAATAAATTATTAAAGTAA